TAAAATTAGTCATAAATTTAAAAGTTGCGATAACTTTTTTTTTGGTCCAATACTTTTGACCGGGGAGTGTACATTAACAAAGATGCACGATAATTATTTTTTTTTTTGCTATTTAAGATCCACGTTATGACCATATGATTTATAATATCTCGTGAAAATAGTAATTTAACTTTTAAAATTATAAATCAAAAAATTAAAGTTATTATAAATAAGAAAATAAAGAAAATAACAATTAATCAATTCCTCAAAATCTACCTAAATTAATGATCCTCAAATGTAGAGTGGTATCCAACGCTCCGTTCAATTTCAAGTGAAGATTTGCAGTGATCACAGGCCGGTATAATAAAATATTTATGTTTTGATTCCAGATGTTGAAGAATAATGTGATGTAATGCTTCGTAATCTTGTTTAGTAGTGTTGCTGCAACAACTGTTTAAATAAAATGAATAAAATAAATATTGAATAAGAGATATCATAACCACGGATTTATGACAGGTGATTGATAAAAAGAAAAGCTCACGAATCAACTATTATTTGATAAAAATGAAATTTGAAGAAAAAATATGGTATTCCAAATATTTTACTCGTAACACATAATATTTTATGACAATATAAATCACGTGTTCGAAATTTAAGTTAAAATACTAACCGTGACAAATTAGCGTGCAGCATGACTTGGGTTCGAGTTTTTTTCATTTAATCATTTAATCAAGTGAATCATATGATCATTAATATGATTTTACTAACGTCATACATGTTTTTGTAAAAAAAAAGTTTGAAAATATCCTTAATACAACAATATTTCCATAAAATTCATTATGTTTTTTTAATAGGGTTTTTAATATTTTTGAGATTAATGGTAAATTATCAATTTATGAAAGAATATAAATCAAAAATTAAATAATTAGTCCTTATTATTTCATTTGGAAATATGCGCTTATCCCAAATGTGAATTTGTTCCATAAAAAACATATATAATATAAATTGTGCAACACTCCTGCTGGATTAAAAAGAAAAAAAGAAGAAAAAATAAATAATTAAAATTAAAAATAAAATGTTTTATACAATTATATAATTATATTATAATTCGGAATTTTTTTTATTATTGAAGGAAAAAATATTGACTATGATGCTATAGTACCTTTTACTATGCATTTATTTAGTAAAATTCGTGGGTTGGTTATGAAGCCTCGAGGTCAAAAAATTTTTTTAATATATAATACAATACTTAAGTGAAATATAAATTAATAAAGAATCAGTGCATTTCAATATAACAGATGTAGATAAAATCAATTTATTTTTCTATATAATTCAGATTTATTAAGTCTAATTTAAATCGTATTAGTTATAATATATTTTATACAGCTGACGTTTTCGTACCCATAATTCTATGCTATCACCTTCAACTTTCCCAATTAATACAGTTCAAAATAACTGTTATCAGAACGCTTTAAAATTCATCTTTAAGATGTGTAAATTTTGTTTATATTTTAACACGTGACAAAAAGTTTTTATAACACTAAGATAAAAATTCTAGGTTAACTTGTTAATTTATCAGCATCTTAATCTAATAACATCAAAAACTAAAATGCAATAAAAATCCCAATTTTGTTAAAATTCCCGAAACTTGATTTTCCTAGTAATCAACGATGCTAGCATATTAATACATTTATCAATAACTTATTCTTTTCTGCCCTCAAAAGAGCGTCCAAGCACGCGGCCAAGTCTGTTGTATCGTAACGCGCCTCTTTTGGTATTCCAGCGAGTTTTAAAATACCATCTACAATAATAAAATCGGAATAGCTACGTTGCATAAAACTTTAAGAAAGTATCGTAGCGATCAAACGGTCGGATATCATGCGATGACTCTTGACTTTATAATACTGTATCAAATATTTACCTTTCATTATATATTATATAGTCTTTTATTATATTATCTAGTTTTCATTATATGTATCGTTTATAATTATCAAAAAGCGTAGTATAGTACTAGTTAGCAATTTTATATAAATAGACCTGTAAGTTGACCTAAAGTCGACAGAGTTTTTGCTCAGAGATTGAGATAAGTCTTGGGACTAGACTTATAAACTCTATAGTTTTAATAAAGTTACTATTTTACACTTTCAACCTTCCTCTTGACTTCATCATAGGATTGATCGTGATAACCGACTACACAAGTGAATCGCAATAGTGAATCGTGATAATAAATTGTTTTGTTTGTTACTCGTTAATTTCTCTAAGGAAAGGTCTTCGAGATAATTGTGATATTAAGTTTATTAGTTTTGTTAGCTTGGTTTTTTAGACGATTCCAGGTCTAACAACAGATACAATATCACCGATAGGCCATACATAGCCAGCATGCGCTTTTCGAATTTGGATCATGTAGAAATCTACGTAGTTTCGATATCGCCTAAACATATCGTTGGGAAATGTATCGGAATAAAGGACAAGTATAGTTGTTAACATTGTTATTTCATTTCATGTATCACCATTCCATTTGGAATCGTTATTTGAAAATAAAATAAACTCTTGCAACGACCCGATTTGAATTCTTATTCACGATATTATTAGTATAAACATCTTTTCGTCCGTGCCATATACTATTGCCATGGTTTTATATGAAGTGCTCATTTCCGTGCTTCTTAACTTAAAATCACATCTACAACTCTCTTGATAACTTAGATTTTTATTTGTAGTTATAAAATTTATCGGATTTACAAAAAAGATAAGCAATAAGGTAAAATAGTTATGCTTATGCAATATAATCAATCACGTACTACAATGTGATTGGCTAAAACTATACATATACCTACAAGACGCCGGAACTTTTTTTTTTTGTTGGAAACCCTTGGCGGCAGAACATTTTCAATATCAATTACCATCGATTGATTAACATACCCATCTGCCAAATAATAACTGACAGGTTGATATTTTTTTTCATTTTTTACAGAAGAAACCATGTGGAGGAAATTTTGCTTTTGATCTGCCATGAAAAATTCGTGAATATGCTTTCCCGTTATCCCGTTTAATATAAACATTTTTTTTGGAGAAAAATTTAATAAATAATTTCGCTGTCGTTTATCTTGAGCAGTATATGAAATTAAAATCCAGTGATTTTTAAGAGTAACGGAAAAAATGCGTACGACAAGCGTAGTTTAGGACCTAACTTCTCATTGTAGGATCACTTTCGTCTTCCGTACGAAAATAATTATATCGGAAACGGAGAACTCCGCAATTTTCGATATCTATGCAAATGATGAAAAGATAAGTAAACAATTCTATCTGTTCCAGTAACGATAACTGTCGTCGTTGTTGACATATGGGTTTGCTATTAATATAGAGTCACGAACATAGTAAATCAAAGCAAACCTTATCTTCCCCACGACAAATTATTATAATAAAATAGTTTTCATATAGTATCACACCCCTCAAGTTTCCGTTTTTACCATTTATTCAGGGGACTTTTTTAATTTTAGTGGAGAAATCTTATTTATTTGTCACATATCTATTTGTCACGGTTTAGGGTTAATTTAGGTTAGTTAGGGTAGGTGTTGTATTAGCATATTATTGGTCAAAATTTCACGTCTGAAGAATTTGATGGGAGTTAGAAAACCTCCCAATAGAGAGTTTCTAGTTTGACGGCGAGCTTTGCCCATAAGCGGTAAAGTTAAAAATTGACAATTTCAGCAGAATATTTATAATCAAAATGACGTGATGTGTGTAAACTGTGTAAACTTCTCGAGGGAAAAATGAATTGATCAACATCACGAGAAAATCAAAATTGTGCAACGAGAAAAAAATTTTTTTTTTTATTATTGTAATGTTCTGTTAAAAAAAGTGAAAAATGAATTAGGATTAAATAACATCAAAGAAGGAAAAGAAGGTAAAAAATAAAATAAAATAAACAATAAATATTTAAAAAAACTAAGTCTACTCTGCAAAAAAAAAAAAAAAAAATGAATGATTTGCTATGAAAAAAAAAACTGAAGAATACAAACGTTTAGAACCAGAAACTTTCATCTCCTCCCTTATAAATATAAATAAGTTATAAATTGTATAATATTTTATAAATAATGGGACGAAGTCTGCAAATCTCTATATTTTCCGTGCAATTCGACGAGCATTTTAGGTTAATCTCCGTCAGTAATCTTATCCGGTTGCAAAATAACCGAATAAGCTATATTAAAATTAGAGAATTTTCTTTACGTATTATGAAATACGTACGTTTAAATTCGTTTTTTTTTAGAGAAGAAATGATCAACTAAAATAAGAATAATGAATTTGTAAAGTTAGTTTTCATGATTGGGCTTTCGGACATTTAAAAACAAAAAAAGGTTAATCGATTACAAATTCAACCAGCCGCAGCTTCTATTGCCATTAATAACGATAATGTATTTTATAACTTTATATTACTGTAATGCGGTTGCATTTAAAAAAAAAAAAGTAATAACATGCAATCATAATATTTTGTTTCTTAGCAATTTAAACAATATTACAATATAAAAATGAAATAAATCATTCGGCATATCTAACAACTCGGCCCCAAGTCTCAAAAGTTCCCCAGATTCTAAATGATATACAGCAGATTACATTAAAAATAATACTCACAGA